GCTTACTTTGTCTTTGTGGTTATGAGCCAGAGATTTTTTCTTTTTCACCCCTAGATAATGGATACACAATTTTGATGTTAACATTTTTTTAAAGGTTTATTTATTTATACACATAGAACTGGGGTACAGGACAGAGGTGCAGGGTTATAAGAGGATTCACCAGAGACACAGAGGGAAGCAGAGCAGGCAGACTGATGAAGTACACTATTGAGGGGAGCAGTGGGTCAGGAGAGGTCTGCTGTGCCACCTGGGTCAATTCCCTAGCTGGGGATCAAACTTGTGCTGAAGCTGCTGAGGCAAACTTCATGGTGCTGTGTTTTAACATATTGTGCGACCAGGGAGGGCCCATGATGTTAACATTTTTTAATGCCAAAGCTAACAGAAACAATATTTATTTGGTCACTGGGCCATTTTAATTTCTAAAAAGAAGGGATGAGGAAATTAATGTGAGTTTCCATGAGTTTTGTATAGGGTACCTATGCAGGTATTCTTATCTACTTTTACATTAGATATTGTTTCCCTCTACAGTTTCTATAGGTACCCTCTATGCTAGATATTATAGCTTTATAGTTTAAAAAAGACATAACATGACCTCATGAATAACTTGATTTCTAATTTCATGAGCTTCAGTTACAGAGTTACATTGAATTCCACAGGATATAAGCTAAATCTAAGTCATTCACAGATTAGTCAAATATGAAAGGAAAACATGAAAGAGAAATGTAGTCTAGAAAGATTGATATGAATAACAGCTAAAAAATAGATGTATATCAGCCTTCCCTGGTGGCACAGCGGGTTAAAGCACTGCACTAAGAAGCTGGAAACCACTTGCACATGAGTTCAATTCCAGCCTGCCCCGGAGGTGACCACATGGTGTGGCAGACCTCTCCTGACTCGCCCTCTGCTCCCCTTAGCAGTGTACTTCGTCGATCTGCCTGTCCTGCTCCCCACTCTGTCTCTAGTGAAGTCTTTTGTCACCCCTGAGTCTCTTGCCTGTACCCCAGTTCTGTATGCACAAATAAATAAATCTTAAAAAAAAATAGATGCATAGCATCTCATTTATGGCACTTGCTGGTTAAAATGTGTGATCACTTTCAAAGACCACAAGTTACTCTTAGCACTGTTTATAAGACACAAAATGTATGTCACCCAGTTGTGTGGAATAGATACTAAGGCTATTCTGATATATAATTTCTAATGATTTGTTTACTATGGTCTAGGAAAGACTTTATGTGCAGTTTATTTTGTTTTTAATGGTCACTTTTAAAATATAACAAATATAAGTAGGACAATCTTTTTGCCTTAAATATTTAATTATTTGCCCTCCATTTTGAGTAGTTTGATCTTAACATTTTGAAGAAATAGTCTTGATTCATTAGTGTATCCCAGTGAATGGTGGACACTGGCAGACCCTGGCCTGTTGGGTATAGAATGAGTGGTTTGGACTAATCATTTACTGAATTCCATTATGGTTCCAGAATCCAATCATTTTATGAAGACATGATGTTTACATGTACAGAAAAATGAGTCAGTCATGATTATTACCTTGATTCTGTAGCATGTGGAATATTCTGTAAAGTCAGCACTACCACTAAAGGTGATTGTGCAAATATGTTTACCAACTCTATCTACTACACTTTACAGGATATATCAGATATGCGATATAAATATTTTAGTCTATTCAAGCAAAACTGAAAATAACATATCTATCAGGCACTTTACCTTACATAACTCAATGGAAAATGAATTAAAACTTGATGTGAATGGCTTTATTTTGAATTACCATTCTAGTCAGTTGACAAAGTTTTCCTGGGATTATTTTTTTTTAATTTTGGTTCTATACTTAAAGAATCTGTAATATTTTTCATTTCCCCAATTGAAAATAAATAATCCAAGCATGAAGTTACAGGTGAAAAATTTTACCCACTACCCTATGCATTTTTGAGCTTCTCAACAAAAGGTGTCCCAAAGCATATTAGGATGCTCCTCTTGATGCAAATGCTGGAAATGCTTGAGCAGTCAACTGCCCAGTAAGATTCCTATGAAGAAGTGGTGTTTATGCTTCTGGATCCAAACTGACCTTCCACTTTTCCTTAAATGTTTTTATTTTAAAATATATTTATAAATCAATTACCTAATCATGAGTATTCCGTGAATAAAGCAATGATTTTGAAAGCTTATGTAAAAGCCTGCAGACAACACAAGGGCACTGTCACAGACTCGTTTTTAAAAATCAAAAAATAAAATGACCAAAATGTGACTCAGAGGACCAAAAAACAATAAAAAAATGAGATCATGAGGTTTCATTTTTCAAACAATGGTTCATAAATAGGTATGTCTTTAAAAGATGTTTACATTCCTTGTTATAGGAGAGAGACTAGTAGTCATTTTGGGAAGGGAGAAATGTGCAGAAAATTCTCTCCTATATTTGGATGCAGACATGTTGTCTTCCCTGATCAGTGAATGCCCTCTAATCTTGTAGGACAAAAAGAAAAAAAAAAATCTCTTGTAAGACTTAGACAGTGTCTTACAAGACTCATTTAAAATAATGGAACTTTGTCTCAGGACTCTGTGATGCTCTGGATATATTTACTTTTAATTAAATGTTTTTATTATGTCTGTTAATATAGAAATATTTTCTCTTTAATATAACACAAATTCTAAAGGTGATTGTGCAAATATGTTTACCAACTCTATCTACTACACTTTACAGGATATATTAGATATGCGATATAAATATTTTAGTCTATTCAAGCAAAACTGAAAATAACATATCTATCAGGCACTTTTCTAAGAAAAAGAACATAGTTCTTTGGCGGCTTATCTTCCTTTTTAGTTTTGTTTTACTATTTTCTTCTCCATTCCTCCCTCCCTTTCCTTCAGGTTCCCTTCTGCCATGCTCCTTCCCTTCCCTTCCCTTTCTTTTGTTGCTTAAATACTTGTAACTATTTACTCTGATGGTTATGTGCTTTACACAAGTTTTCCTCACACTTTCTAAATTCACAATTTTAAAGTTATTTACTTCTGTATTGATGTACATATGTAGTTACAATGGTGTCAATTTTCACATAAAAATAATTGAAGTGCTTTGTTAAATTCATCCAACAAGGAAGGATTCCCTTCTTTAAAATGATGCTCTCTTCCTTATGTTGGGAAATGTTCTACAGCAGTTAATCTAGAAATCAGGTCATGTTGATGACATATTCATTTCATGTTTATGTTAAATGCTCAAATATCTGAATTTGTGTTATAACTATTTAATATATTGAATATAAACTGCTAGACACACAATTTAAAACTGCAGATGGCAACCTCTGAGGTTCTAACACCTCCAAAGTTAAGTTTTGTTTTCCCCCAAATAATGTTGAGTAGGGGTAGGTGTATTAGCTTACAGTTATTTCTGTATTCTGAATATATTCTAATGAGGGAATATTTGGGCATAAAGACACTTATTATCTTGAAATGCCATATTTCAGAATCTTTTACTTAATACATGAAAGATGTTGTCTTGTTGTTCTAGACTTGAACAGATATAAAATATCCTTCGTGATGTTCTTTTAATCTTATATTCTGTGTCTACTTAGAGTCAAAAATAGGAATACCTTCAGAAAGTGAGGAATATTATTGTGAATCTGTTGTATTATTTTTTTGTTTGTTTGTTGTACTCTTTTTAAGACACAGCTGCATTCAGCAGAAGTATAAGTGATTTAAAAACCTAACAACTATGTTAAGGTTATTTCTTTCTGGTCAGTGCAGTAAAGGAATTATCCAACTATAAATTTGTATCAGTAAAATGAAAATACATATACTGCATTTGGTTTCCTGACAACACTGTTAAGACTGAGTCATATTTCCAAATAATTTTGAAGATTTGTGGTGTCATTGCACAGAACTAATAATGAGAATAAAATAGCCGGTTCTCTACGCAGATGGTTACTGATTTAATTTTGTCAAAAAGATTTAATTTATTGACCAAAGGTTGGGTTTTATAAGAACAGTCTTTATGTGATATATACTGTTTGTAGATTTTTAGTAAGAAATAGAATACATACCACAAATCTTCTGCAAAGCAGATAACTAGATTTGTCCCCAATTCAAAAATTCACTGGGCCCTAGTTCATAAAACATTATTTCTTATACACATAATCTTAGAGAATATAAAATAACCAATGTGTTATGCATAACAAAGGCAAATAAAACAAACCCCCATGAAATGTAACCCTTAACAGTATTTGAAACCCCTCCCCCCCACTCCAAAAGTATATGAATCTTAAAAATAAGTAAAAGTAAACCCAGTATGCTGTGCTTTTCTTCTGGAAAATTCTCTCAATACGTGACTTTTTGTACTTTTGTCTTTTCTGTTTGCCAGCTCAAGCGGTGTGTCGCCTTCATGAGCTGCTTCTCTCCTACTGGAGGCTGCTCAGCAATAAATTCGTGTGAAATAATAGCCTGTGATCATTCTAGTTAGAGCAGTTAATAACTGGTTAAGCGACATTTCCTTCAAATGGCTGTTTTCATCGCCCAAAAGCAATCTCTCTTGCCCCATCCCCCATCCCTTCTCCATCCAGGCCCCAACTTCCTCCTCCAATCTCCATCCCCGAGTTCGGAGGACAGCGCCATCCTGGAACTGTACGGTCCTCTCAACAGCAGAGCGATCCCAAGGATGAAGGAGAGAGATTCAGTCGATGAGGGGAAAAAGCAAAAGGGTTGGGGGGTGTGGGGGAGGAATAAATGTTCCATCTTTCTGGAGGGAGGACGCAGTCGCCCAGTCCCGTACCCTGGTGCTCACAGGGTTAAAGCACCCTCGCCGCGGTCGGAACAAAGTTGCAGCCGAGAGCTGGCTGAGCTCCTAGGCCCCTAGCCCACCCCATTGCTACCCCCATCCCCACGCGAGGCCGACTTGGCATGGGGGAGGCGAGCACGCAGCGGAGCGGCTGACGTGGACCAGCTGCAGGTACCGCGAGCGCGGCCGCGGAGACACTCCCCTCGCCGCAGCCGGGTCTGGACTCCACTAGCCGACTCCGAGCAGCTGTTCACCCTCCGCGATCGCACCCACCCCACCCCCTTCTGCCCCTAGCTTGTCCGAGCCGAGCTGCAGCTGGATGAGTGGAGCGACGCGCCCTGGGTTCTGAGTCTGCCTCAAATAGATAGATGTGCATCTCTTTATTTAGGTTTTTTGCCTCTTGACTACACTAATGATCCCCCTCCTCACTCTTCTGGAATGATGGGGATCTTTTTGGCGTATGTTGGATTTGTTTTCTTTTCGATTTTGTATGTACAGCAAGGGCTTTCTTCTCAAGGTAAGTCTTGCTGGTTGCCAAATATACATTTGCTTGTGGAGTGTGTATGTGTGTTCTCTACAAAGAAGGGCCAGACAGATGTCGTGAGGTTCTTAGGAAGTAGCAGTGGGTTTAGGTTGTACAAATAGTGTTCTGTTTGGCATTTTCTTCAAAGTTTATTGAACAGCAGGCCAGCTAAATTTGAGAGCAAATTTAGTTGGTGCCTGACAATGATATAGGTTCTTCGGTGAACACAAACACAGTGTGTGCTTGTGCGAGTGTGTGCGTGCGTGCGTGTGTGTGTGTGTGTGTACTCGCACGCTCCCCTTCTGTGTGTGTGCACAGGGTAACCACTCATGCATACATAATCGTCACAAAACAAACAAGAGCTGAGGATGGGGTCTTTCCATTGCCAGTCTTCTCCGTGTAGACAAAATGAGTTTAGAATTTCCTTTTTGGTCCTTGTGACTTCATTTGCATTGTGTATTTATCAAAGGACAGACTCCTCTGAGACCCATAAACAGACAGGACATGCATACAAACAGCAGCAGCCTGCCTAACCCAGTTGTCCCGGACTTCGCAGTCTGCAGCAATCATTTCAGCACCATGAACAGATCACATCGCTGCTGCCGAACTGCATCATTTCTGCAAGAAATGCCTCCTCCCACTTCCAGCAGGAAAAGTCCTTTTCGAAAGTCTTAACAGCTACCATTTTCTTGAAATGTAAATGCAGGTCCATTTCAATAGAGACCATTTGGTATTTCATAAGATGTTGAAAAGAGACACTGATGGTATTTCTCTTCAAAAGGTGTCTGTGTGTGGTGATGTGGACCGGGGCAGGCTGGTTGCATCCCCCTTAAATCAGCCTTGCAAGCCCCCTTCATTTGGTCTTCCTCTCCACATGTGTGCTTTGTAGCTGTGAACTTCCACCAGCCACTAATCTCTCTAAGACTTCAGTGAATCATCATTTACTTATTTACGAAGAAGTGCTCCTTAGTCAAGATGAGGACAGCTGTCCAAAGCATTCCATGTTAAAGAGATGCCTATGGCAGAAAGCCATACATACAAACATCTTATTTTTTTGAGTTTCACCATGATTCAATGAAACCTGCAAACTAACACTGTCAAGATTTGTAATGAAAAAACTGAAAAAACATCTCTCTGGTGACTTCAAAATATTCTTTATCTGAACTAAGCCCAGGTGTGTGATTCTTAAGTCCAATTGCTGTATGACAATTTGCAACGTAATGGTTTGATGGGAACAATGGTTAATTTGGAGAGAGAAATATTCACAGCTTGAAAAGTATGCAACTTGGGTTACTGCCTTAGTTTTCAAATCACAATTGCTAATAATAATTTTGATGTAATCAGGAATTTAACAAGTAATCATGATCCATTCTCTTTTACCTGAAACAGTTTGTCATAGATTATTTAGTAGCTTGAAGAAAAGGGTTTTTTTCAATATGTCAATTCTACAGCTTTGCCTAAATTTTACATCACTGAATCCCTCAAGTTTTGGGCAATACGGCAATCTGAAAAGGTGTTTGTATCTAACTGTGGGAAGCTTGGCTAGCAGGAGAGTTATCGTCAGGCAAGCTTATTAGTGTCTCCATTACTTGGATTTATCAACAACAAAGTGATGTAAACATTACACAAAAATAAGGCAAGCAAGGGAGTTGGGGAGCCAGGTAAAGTTGAAGAGTTTTTTGTCCTTGATTCCTTACATCCAAGAAAAATGTAGCAAGATTTTCAAGGAGTGATGCTGACAAGAGTGATGTGGATATTCCAAGTGGATGTATTTCTGTTTTGCAGCAAAATTTACTGAGTTTCCACGGAATGTATCTGCAACTGAAGGGCAGAATGTGGAGATGTCCTGTGCTTTCCAGAGTGGCTCATCCTCGGTGTATTTGGAAATCCAGTGGTGGTTTCTGAGAGGAGCAGATGACCTGGAGCCTGGGCCTGAGGTGGCTGGCTCAAAGGTAGCTGATATTTGTGGCCAGCAATATCCTGGATCTGTGGGATCTATCCCTAGCCCTCCAATGTGGGAGCCCCCAAATCTGCTAATGTCCCCTTGGGGATCTTTTGGCCAGTGGATTGTCCAGGGATGCTAGGGAGTGAACTGGCTTCTGCAGTTGTGGTGACACTAGGTTAAACTCTGGAGGGAGTCATTACCTGGTGAAAGCTGGGGATGTTTTATCCATTTCATCCTGGTTTCTATCAAGTAATCCTTGATGGTGCTCCTGCAATGATACATTAGGAAAGGTAAAGTGAGAGAAAATAATTCTTTCAATACCCCTATACCTGCTACTTACCCTCCATAGCTGTTTATGTTCATGTTTATATTCAGCACAGAAGAGATTGCTGTGTTGGGGTAGGGGTTGGGGTGGGCTCAAAGAGAAGGATGACAGGGTAGGAGGAAAGCATGCCAGGAAAGGGGAGACAGTTGAAGAGAGGAGGGAGGGAACAGGAGAATGAAAGGAAGATGGAGGAGAGGAGGAAAGAAGTGAAAGGGAAGAAAAGAGTGAGGGAAATGGGGAGGTAGGCTGGGTGGGGTAAAGTGAGAAGGATAAAGGGAACAGGGAGTGAAGGAAGAGACTGCAGGGGAGACTAGAAAATGGACAGTAGTGGGTGGAGAAGGGAGTAAAGCTGAGAGTGCTACAAAGGAGAGAAGAAGGAGGAGTGAAGAGGCAGAGAAAGAAGGTAAGGAGAAAAGGAAGAGAGAGAAGGGAGGGGATGTCAAGAAAAAGACTGGGAGAAGTTCAGCAAAATTGGGAAATTTATCCTATTGAGAAAAGGAAAATCTGTAGCAGAAATATAGGGCAAAAAGACTCAGCACTATGCACTGCTGGGAAGCCCTCTTGGCAGAACCGGGCTCCCAATCTTGACTGAAACTTCACTCTGGCAGCAATGCCCTGAACCATGCAAGCACTCTAAGTGTCTACAGCACCCACCCTGCTTGGTCGCACCTTACCTAAACCGCAAAACTTCCTTCAGCCTCTACTTTCTCTGAGCATCCAAGCTCCATTGAGCCCCATCCAGAACCCCACACGCAGCATCCTGAGCTTTGGATAAACCTACCTTACCCCCTCTGCTTGGCTTGATGGCAGGCACTAGGGGAAGTGGTGGTCCTCCTCTAGGCTTAAAACCCCTACCCACTGGGGCCTTATCCCCCACCTGCCCACAACCCCACCCTCTGTGTCTACTAAGTCAACTGAGTGAACCGTGCAGAGTCTGGGGACATGTGGCAGGCTGGCTCAGTGTGGCACTCTAGCCTCTGCCCAGCGTGTGTCTCCTTGTCCTGCAGGTGGAGCTGGTGCCAGACCGCGACCCAGACAGCGAGGGGACTAAGATCAGTGTGAGTATCCCTGCCATAGCCACACTGGTGACGCCTGACAATGCCAGGCTGGACATAGGTGAAGAACGGTCCATTAATTTTAGATTTATAAAATATTTTAATTTGCTTTTCCTGGTAAGAGCCATTTTACAAACACAAGGACTGCATTTGTCTTACCTTATGGGACACATAAAATTTAAAGCTGATTTAGAGCTGGTACACTGAAATTATTTATTGTGATCATGTAATAGTTAAACAATTATTTGAGCAGCATTCTTCCACTCAAAGAGGGGTGTGGCATTTTTCTTGCAATTTTTAAATTTAGATATTTGTATGTATAAAGGACTGCAGTGTTAGATGTACATTTGAAGTTACAGAAATTACATCTTTTAATTGTATATAAAACATTAACATGCAAGAATCTTCCTGCACAGAAAAAAATTAAACAAACCAACAATATATTGAAATTGGAATGAAAATAACACAAAGTTTCAATATAATGCATACAATGTATGTCTTATGCCAGTGTTTATATAGATATAGATATAAATATAAACATAAAGCTAAAGGCTAATATATAATATAAAATTGAAGGAGACTGACTTCTTGAAAATATAAAAATTTATTTCTAACCTATTGAATAGCATATTTAACAACTGTTTATGAAACTAGAAAAATTGTGAAAATCTTATTTTTTAACCATAACTTAAAAGAAACCACAATCATTTTATATTAATAGGAATGTTTAGCTTGTTGATAGATAGGATAGGGGAGCAAAATCCTCCATCCCAAAAATATGTTTTTTTTTTTTTATGACAAAATACTTATTTCAAAGAGTGGTTCTAGAGGTTGAATGGAGACTCTTTTTCCCCAAAAAATTATGTTTATTGGATGATGTAAAATAGGTTCACAACTTTATACCTGCACCAAAGGTTACAGTTTTAAACCTCTTCAAATGTACACTTTTATACCCTGCTCCACCACCAGCACTCTAACAATCCCCAGCCGCATTGAAGAGGCTGCTTTAATTTTTTCTGTCTAAATTTCTCTCTGTAAGGGTCTCTGTCAGCCAACTTGAATGCCCATATCACTTTTCAATGAAAAAAGAAAACGGAGGGAATGTTTCCCCCTCCCACGTCTTTCTTCTACAAGCCTCCCTGTCTTCATGAGCAAACTACTCAGTCACGTTGTCTCTTCTCCAAGTATATGAGAGCTATACCTGTTACTACTAAACTTCTATGACTTCTTCTGTTATCCCACCCTGGTGCTTGTTTGAAGAATCCAGAGGCATTCAGGATGGTTTCCTTTACACTTTAACAGTTGTTTATTTTTTCATTACTAGAAATTAAATAGTTTCATAATAAAAAAATGTAAATCTATATGTATACATATGGAATTTAAAACAATGTCCTACATTGCTTTTATTAATGTTACATTATTTATGTTTAAATTTCTTTTAAAAAAGAGATTTATGGCCCTCCCTGGTGGCGTAGTGGGCTAAAGCATAGCACTAAGAAGCTTAAGCCACTTCCGCATGAGTTCGATTCCCGCCTGGCCCGGAGGTGATTCACATGGCGCGGCAGACCTGCCCGCTGCTCCCCATCAGCAGTGTACTTTGTCGATCTCCCTGTTCTGCTCCTCACTCTGTCTCTGGTGAATCCTCTCACCCTCCGCATCTCTGTATGAATAAATAAATAAATCTTTAGAAAATAAAAAAGGAGAGATTTATTATGAGGCCTTTACAATAGCAAAATGTGATATAAATTTGTGTTACATCATTACCAAAGTAAAAATATATATATATTTTACTAATAGAATAAAAGATGGTCTAAATATATAATCTCCACTGGAAGAAAAAAATCAAACAAAAATAAGATGTAAGTAAAGAAGTGCTAATTTATATACATGAAGTAGCTAATCATTTCAGAATGTTTCAATTAAATTATTGTATAATAGAAACCATACTGCTAGAAAAATGATTGGTAAGATCAATTGTTCATAACATTTTGGTGATATATTTCTATACACATATAAAAGGCTAAATTATTTGACTTTAATGTTTACCTATTTGCTTCAATAAAGTCCATATCCTACAAAGGCCAGTCACAAAAGTGGCCCCACACAACCTAACCTTGGTTAGCATACAAGCAGATACATAATCTCACTGTTGCTCATAGTTCATGGCATTAATAGTTCACAGAATCTAGTGCATAAGAAATTTTTTTAAATACAAACTGAAGTAGAAAGCATTTCGCCCTCATCTACCAACTGTGTGATTTTGATCATATGTCATGTGTCAGCAGTTTTTAACTTACAATTCCTGATAGAGATTTGATAAGATACTGATACAAATAAAGTTGTGCTCTTAGCCCTCTAAGTCATATACACTATTTAAATAAATGTTATCTCTATAAATATTAAAAATAGATACCAACATACCTTAGGAAAAAGAAATAAACTGATACGAGCTTTGGCACTATAGATGCAGAGTTACTGGTTCTTCATTAATCCAACTGAAAGCATTTTCTAAGAATATGCTAGATGATTCCAAAGAGCACTATTAAGAATCAATCACCCAAACCTCTAAGCTTCAGTTTATGCTACTGTAAAATGGGATCATGAAAATATAAGTACTCTGAAAACCTCAAACGTTTTTCAGGAAATAGTATAATATATTTTAATCTACTAAAATCCATTATGCTTGTAATATTAGTAAACTTATGTATAACTTTGTATGCATATAAATATGCTCAAATGTGACACTTTTTGTATAAACAGCTTTACATGTTAAAAAAAAAAAAAAAAGATGAACAAGACCGTGGCTCTCCACTTATGGGAAAGCGACAGTGACCACACACCTAGGGGGAGGAGTCTTACATCGTCAAAATATTTACAAGGATGTCGAACAAATGATGTTTTATTAGTAAGAATGTAAATAAATTTAAAAAAATAGATGCACACTTCCTAAAATTTCTTAATTATTTATGGTCATTTCAAAGTCCAATGGCCAATGGCAGTATAACTTTGTGCTTTCTTTGCTTTTCTCTCCTCTTTCAAAACAGCCAAGACTTTAAAACATGATCATTTTATGAAATCTATTATTCTTTTAGTCACTGATAATATGCAAAATATATTAAATTAAACTATTCTAATAAAGATACTTATGGATATATAGAATATTGTATATTATGTAGAATTTTATTACAAATACTCATAATTATATCTAAACATATAAATATAATCTTAGTATCAATCTAGCATAAATTATTGAAAGATAAAAGAGTTAATTTCAGTTTTTGAAAATCATTCAAATATATAACTGATGGCATCTCAAGGTCCACTCACTATAATTAGACTCTGTAATGGCAAGGTTTATGTATTTAATGAACAATAGGATTTCAGATGATATTATTCTGCACCTTGATCCTTGCTACCCCATGCTTGTAAGTTAGACATCAAGGAATATTTAAGAAGAATTTCCTTTAATAACCAAGTCTATTTTGTACCTTTAGCAGCCATCTCAGTGTGAAGATAATATGAAGATAATATCACATTTTCACTTAAATTCAATACTGACCACAATGATAAACAAAATATTTCTGTGATCTTTCAGAGTTATAGCCTGCAGAAAAGAAAAGAAGTATGCAGACTTGCTTGCCTTAAGTAGGTTCATGCCTAATTGAGCTGAGAATTAACAATCAATCCATGATTAGAAAATGGCCAAGCTGCTACTGAAACCTGGGAAATAGTGACCACATAGCTAATGGAATTTGGCATTGGCTGGATTTAACTAATTATTCCATGAATTTGTGAAGCCAGTTGTTAGTAGATTAGGATAAATAAGACCTTCAGATTTGACTGCTGAGAAAATAAAAAGCTCTATGTCTATGGCCAGAAAGACCCTTTAATTTCCAACATTAGCAATCTCTGGGCAAAGCATAAAAATGAAATCATTTGATGTAGCATTTTATTTTTTTTCTTTTTACCTGCACTTTTTCAGACAGTAAAAGTCCAAGGCAATGACATCTCTCACAAGCTTCAGATTTCCAAAGTAAGGAAAAAGGATGAAGGTTTATATGAGTGCAGGGTGACAGATGCTAACTATGGAGAGCTCCAGGAACACAAAGCCCAGGCCTACTTGAAAGTCAATGCCAACAGTCATGCTCGAAGGATGCAGGCCTTTGAAGCCTCACCCATGTGGCTGCAAGACATGAAGCCCAGGAAGAATATCTCTGCAGTAGCTCCCAGCAGCATGCACAGCTCTGCCAACCAGCGAATTCACTCCACCTCCAGTCCTCATGCGGTAGCCAAATTCCCCAAACAAAGTCCACAATCAGGTATGGAAACCCATTTTGAGCTTTCATTTTCCACTCACAAATCTTCCACCAGAAGATCGGTAAAGTATAATAGACAGACTTGTGTATGATGCCTTTTAAGTTGGAGCCTAGTTCAGTTGAAGTAATGATGCAATGGTGAGGGAAGCTCCAGGCTGGCCTTCACTGAGGATGCAAGTGGTTCCATTAGTCACTGACAGTGTGTCCAAGGGACCTCAGAGCTGGACTTTTGTTCTCCCTGTATTTACACTTTATAAAAGCAATAAATCATGTCATGTTGTTTGCATTATAAATGCACGTTCATTTTCTTCACAGATTTATGTATCGATAATGGCCCAAATTAAGAGACTTTCACTTAATCAAAATGTAAATGAAAGACACATCACATTCTCAGTGACCCATAGCTTTAAGCAGAACTATTCCCCAAGGGCTTTTGATTGTGAAGGAGAAACTGCCTGTGATGAAGTGATGATGATAATAAGAGGAAGTGAAAGGCATTAAGTGGTGCAGTGATAAGGCAACTCCTGTAAATGTGCCTTCCATGCCAATTTAGAAGCTTAGTCACACATTTCCTAAGTCAGCTGTGCAAGTTAAAGCTGTTCTGAATAGCATTAATTTATGAAATCATTCAGCCAATGGAAATACACTGATATTTTAACCTTGATGTGGGATAAAGACTTCTTGGAATGCACAGTACCCTACATGACCCTTTGTTATTGCTGAATCTTCCTCAAATGCTTTTCTTCATGGACTGTAGAAATCAAAATACTATTTAGTTTATCATTTTGTAAGCTTTTATTTTTAGCATTGATGAAATATTAATACTACTATAGTATTATAATAGAAAATATACAGTATAGAAAATCATATTGCTAATATTGAATTTGAACTACCTATGTGTGTATGTGTATATGTACATATATGTACATATATATAAATCATTTAAATCAATGATTTAAATATTTAAATCATTGCTTATGAGCAACTCTTAAATTAATGAATGCCCACCTATATTTATATAACTGCCTCAATATATGTTACAAGCTAATGCATATGTTTTGTAGGGAGCTTGACTTAGCATCTCTGAGAGTTTATACTGTGTTTCAATGCAGTTTGAGTATTACCTTTGCATGCCTTGGTCTTGGTCATTTATGGCAGTCTGATGAACAAAAGGCTTAGCTGCTCAGAAGTCAATTTGTGTAGTTTTGTCTTATTTACCTCCTTATCATCTCTTTTTTTCCCCGAGTTAAATATCATTTGCATACATCACACATCTTCTATATGGTTCTATTTTTTGTGACCATTATTTGATAACATGATTGATAGGTTCTTGGAAACCGTGACTTTAAATGAAACACCCTACAAGAAAATTAGTTCCTCAAATAACATCATTTCATTTAGTGTCTGTTGCAATAGATTTTTGGGTTTTTTTCTCTCTCCCTCATTAATTTTATAATGAAATGACATTAAAAAATGATGGTATTCAAAAATCTGCTATATAAAATACAGTATCTAAGATGACTATCACATTCACTATAATAGTCAATGCCTACTTAGCATTTTGCTTTATAGTTTTCCAGGTTATAGTCAAGTAAAGTTGATTGCATATACATGCTTCATTTATTCATTCATTTGTTCATTCTCCATTCTTTCAAGAATTTATATGCCAGACACAATGGCATAAAAATGGAAGACATATTTTATGTCCTCTAAGAACTTATGATTTCAGTTTGTTACAAAATTAAATACTTGTAAATTCCTTTTATCATGCATTTTTATTTTCTTATTCTACTGAAGGTAAGACATGATAAAGGCAACAACATTAGAATCTTGTTTTTACAGGCCAAGAGCTTAATGGACTTCATTTATTTCACTAAACAAAGAGGTTGCTTTTCCCAGAGTGTAGATGACACCACATGTCAATCTGTAATATAAAATACTGCTCTAAAATACCCAAATATCAATCTAATTATATTTAATTGAATAAGTTTGTATCTATAAAGGGGAAGTTTTAGCTGAAAATATATACTCTAAACATGTTTATATATACATACACATGTGTGTATATATACATACATAGAAGTTTTAAATTGTCATACTATTAATCAGTTGTTTTCTACAGCATAATTTACATGAAAAGAGGAGGTATACAAATTCTGTTACTACCTACATACCACAAAATAAAATAATTAACTATCATTTCATGCATTTTCCATATTTTCTCAGCTATTTTTCTAAAATATAGTAAACATGTGACTGTCTTTTTATTTTTATGACATATGCTTAAATTATCTTAATTCTACTACTTTTTGATGGTCAATAATTAGAACTGAATAATGAAGAAAATTAGTAAACAGACAAACAAAACCTGACTTTTGCAACCCCTACATTTCTTCTTTCCATTTCTTTTGTACCTTCTCTGTTTTTGTGTACCTATAATGTTCACATCAAACCTCATCTTTCTCTATTTTTTTCTTTTTCCCCTATTTTTCTTTGCTCTACTATAAGAAACAAAGAAAGTGATAGAAAATACAATGACTAGTATGTATGTGAAAGTACCTGGAGCTAGAAGTTGAGGAAATATAAAGATGTTTAGAGGAAGAATTCCTGACTTTGACTGATTGAATCAGAGTGGGTGCCCTGGAAAAGGAACTTGCATGTTGGAAAGTTTTAGAAATAAGCACTACACAGAGGATTTTCAGAGAGGTGGGAGTTCACAAGTAGAGCTGGCTGTGGGGAACCTCAAGACCCTCAGCAGTGTGTCCTGTCTTCATAGATAGCAGATACGGACTTCAGTTTTCCCTTACACCACCCTATTCTCTACTGGTTTCCTCCTGTCTCTGAGTTTTGTCACTGCTGTCAGCACACCCCCTTCATAAATCAACGTTTTCATCCTTCCTTTGATTCTCTGTCTTCATGCCCTCAACTTGTCTCTTACTTGTACCCCTACAAACAAGCAAACAAAACATCACATGCAAATAATTGTTCCTGTCTCCCCCAGCTTGGCAGCCAAATCCCTTTAAGGAGTGCTTCCACACTTAGCTTCTCACAGAGGGAATGCTCCACTTTCCCTTCCAATAGTACACTCCCTGCCAGGGGAGATTTCCAGTAAGATCAACAAAGGAGAGATCTCAGCAGGATCTTACTGGAAATCTCTCTTGCCAGAAACCTCTCTTGCCAGAAATTAGAAGATTTCATATATACCCTTGATGTCAATATAGCATCTGTACATGGCTCCCCCATTTTTTGACTGTTAACATTCTTCTTTCTCTTTGGTTGGCTTCTCCCAAATTCCTGTTAAAAGTTTAATTTTTCTCATTTGCAAACTTTTGGTCCTTATACATTATTTGCCAATTCATTTTTTATTAAAAGTCTCTCATTAACATTTCTAAAATTTGATTTCTTTTTGAGGATCCACACAAAATTTCACCAATAATCCCCTAAATATTCTATACATCTATCCCACAAAGACTGAGGTAGATCAAAGATGGTTGTACACTCTGCATTCTACCTATTGGAATTTAGGTCTCTTATGCCTCCCCTGGAACCTGTAATATCCTGTGACCATTGCTTTGACAAAGGTACAAAGAAGTAATGGTATGCAATTAATGCTGTGACAATTGTAGCCCTGGTCAGTAAGAGGGCTGTCAGCTCTGCAGGAACCCCGGCAAAGCAGCCTCCACATAAAATGAGAGACATTGTGCTAAGTGTCATATAACCAGCTGGTCTTTAACTCCAGCTCCAACTGCTGTCACGGGCATAGTGAGGGATTCCAGCATGTATGCCCAGCTGACCTCAGTCAGTGCACAGTTTTGAAAAGAACAGTAAACCATCTTTTCATGAACTAAATTGTAGGGTAGTCTGTTTCATAGAGACAGATAGCCAGACCAAGAACATGAACTCAAATATTTAAGACTAAATTTACTATCATCAGATTTCTCAACAAAAGGAAATATTATTCTTTTGTTTACAAACTGTTACACTCATCATGACCACAGGTCTTGTGGAAACTGGTATTTCTTCCTCCCCTGTAAGTTGCCACATTGACTAATTTAGTCTTATGAATTGTTTCTTCAAAATATTCTTGAAAAACTGCATCTTTTTGGTACCATAAAGTCTACCTTGGTTTTCAACATGAGCCTATTTCCTTTCTCCACTATTCCAGTTGCTCCTGTTTCAGTTATAGTATCAGGAACAGACCACAGCAGAGCAAATATTAACTCACTACTATTTCCAAACATCATCAGGGTCTGATTTCTAGCTCTGTTTCTCCAGAGTTCCTAATTTTCCCATGAATTCCCCTCTATTATATAAATTCTTTCTTACCTCTATGATTTTGTAAATGTTGTTTTCTTTGCATGAGTCATTCATGAAGTTTTTCCCTTTTATCTCAGTGAGCTCGTATTTTCTCATTCGGTTTTCTTTACTTCTGCCTATGAGCTGTCATTGTGCCAGATTGTCTAGTGATATTTTTTTTCCTGAACTTTTCCTCCTTTTAATGCTGAAGTTCCATATTCTAGGAAACCTTTCATTTCAGGGAAAACCATGTGGCTGGTCACCCCAGTGACAATTATTTGCTACAATGATTACAGTTGGATCTTCACTTCTCAAAGTGCCAGCACAAATGGAGCTCTGTTTGGGGAGAAAAAGAAAAGAAAGACACTAATTATGTCTTGTTTTTATCTACTTTTTCTTATGACTATATTCTCATAAATAGATAATTTCCCCATGTTCCAAACTGAGCAAAATTTTTAAACATGTTTGATGTGTAGTTCAAACAATCTGCGTCAAGTTCACCAGGAAACTTGTTAAAAACTTATTGTCTAGGACATTACATGGAGTCTATTGAGTCATAACCTTTGAGTCTAGAGCTTTAAGTAGGCATTTTATGTGCAAAATTATGAGAATCAAGTATTTTTATGTGTGAAGGAAAAATTTATTACTTGTTATGGTGCATAAGAGATGCTACGTCTTTCGAATATGTTATTTTTTTTTTTCTTGTA